GTCGAATTATATTCAATTCAAACATTTAAATGCAAATTCAATTTTTTTAATAACATATAAAACTTTAAATGCTACTAGTAAATGTGTTTTTGTTACGATCACTGGAAGTTTTTTTGCTTATTCGAAATATTTAATGCCATCCACCATTTTTTGAATAGGTTTAAAGTTCGATTCAATGCTTCGAACCCATTTTTTTTGTTTGGAAAAATTATTAGATTTTTCAAAACAATCAAGCGCCAAAACATAAAATATATTTACATAAACATGAAAAATCTTTATACCTTATGAAGAGTTTTTTTTGCTTAAAATTTCAGATTTGGATTCATTATCTTCAGTACTCGATTCCTCAATAATGGTTCCTTCTCAGTCATAATATTCGATTCTTAGTTCTCTATTGTGTTGTTTACTTTCATTATTGTTTTTTTTTTCATTCTTTTTTCGAGTTCACAGCTATAGGTAGGATCCGTGAATAACCACGATTAAAAATGAATATTCAATTTAAAAACGAATGCTCTGGTACATAAATTCGTAAATATTAATTGCATGAAGTTCGTCATGAATAACCTAATTTATACCCTGGTTACTATATCAAGATCACAGGGCATAAATCAGTTATGTCCTGGGCACTATGTGATAAGCGGGACTTTCAGCCCCCCAACTGCCCAGAAAATAACTATTACCTATTTGATCATTTTGTGTATCCATGCAAATCGGATATTCATTCAATATTACTCGTGAATGTTCAAAAATCATGAATATTTAATAGCCATAATGGATATTCAAAGGATCCCAGCTCTATTCCAGCGACAATTACACAAATAAGTAAATGAAGTAGTCTTGATTTGTTTATTATCATATTTTTTATGGTAAACGTGTGAATAGCCATCCCCTTTCACAGAACTTTATGATCTCAAGTGCTAATTAACTTGCAAAAACTTCCTCTGTGTCATTTAATTCTAATTCATTAAAAATTCGAGAAATATCTACAACTATATGCATATTGCTTTCTCCATAAGCATTTTATAAACTATATGTTTGATCTCCGGCATTTTCTTTTTCCTTACAAATATCATTTAAAATTTGTTCTTCATGTTTTCTTTTTCGGCTTTTATTATACGGGTTGAACACTCAAAGCATGTTTTTTGATTACTTTGAAAATGCAATAATGGGTTTTATAATTTGACAAGACAAATAAAGTTTTAGATTTTTCATTTTATGATATTAAAGAAAGCATAAATACTGTAAAATCCCGAAAATAAGCACTACACCCTCTGAACAAACAGGGGTGACCATCTCGAGTATGCTCCGAATCTGTAGATCGTTACACAAGCGATTCAATTGACTGAAATTTTTTTTTATACATGTTACAATACTTTTTTCGGAAGCTCGGATAGATTATCTCTTCTATTAACCCAGTAAAGTGTACTAAGAGAACTTGAAGTCTTCGTGGCATACTTTAATAATATCAGTTGAATCACTCTGAATCCCTCGACCCTTATATTATATTTGCTTAGTAAAAAAATGTCTGACTTTAAGCTTTGTATGAATTGCAAAACTACTGGATCAACTAAATTTTGCTCTTTGAAAGACAAAAAGTGGGACAAAGCGGAAAACCATGGTTTAACTAAGGTAACGTGGGAGAAAGGTGGTAAATTATGTTATAAATGTTATATGAATTTTGTAGAAAATTCACTATAAAGAGAAGCCAAACAAGTAAAAGTTTCTGTTGAAGAAGTTGAAGTTACTACTAGGGAAGAAGTTACAAGGAAAGATGTAGGGACTTTAACAGAAGATTTGGAGACCATGGATGAAGAGGTAAGTATGATCAACCTCATCAAGACTATAGAGACCATGACAAGAGTTTTCTATGAAAAAGAACAGGTAAAGAAAGAAGGTTCTATTTATTCATATGATGAATTGCAGGAAGTATTTCAAACAAATAAAAGCGTAGAAAATTTTCTTGATCAACTTTATTTGATAGCTAGGCCACTCGAATGCAATAAGCAAACCATGGATTATACGAAAAAATTAATAGTTTACATATGCTATCTTCTTGCGTCGCTAAATAATACAAAGATTAATTCATTTAAGTTCGATGTAGCATATTATCTAGATTCTGCGGGTATGACCAATGAAGGCTTAAATACGATGGCAAATCTTGGTGTGACTATGACATCAAGAGCAGTAGATTGAAAAAAAAAACAAATTTCAGATGCTCATAAAAAATATGTAGAAAATGCTTTTTTAAAATATTCAGAAAAGGCTTTTGTGCTAAATATTGACGATTATCACAATATTCATGTGCCATGGCAGTCTGACTCCACTAGCACATCTATTCCGGCATACATGACAACAATTCTTGTGATTCCGTGCTCTATATCATTGGTACCACGTAACAGAGCACTTAATCCAAAAATCATTGATGATAAATTGATCACAAGACATCTTAATGAACGATTCATCATTAATCTTGGTATTTCTTATTATGAGCGCAGTCAGAATTACATAGGTGAGTGTTCTGATAATGAACTTTTAGAGAAACTAATATTGCATAGCTACAATGACAGGTTGGTAGAAAAAAAGACAGATCGGCATATACAAAATTCAATCCTTTTTGATTTTGTTAGAAGCAATTTGAAAAGTGTTAAAGATTATACAAGAGCTATTTAAATAGTGCATGATCAAGAACCTATGCAAGAGTATCTCAAAAACTACGTAATTCTTATTGTTGCAGACTGGCCTGGTTAATTCTTTATTCGCAAAGCTATCGCACATCAGGATCTTCTAAATAACAAAATTATTCCTCTATTTGTTATGTCGTTTTTGCCAATGATGGGTCCTCTTCATGTATCGTTAAATAGCCATGAACTCATTTTTAAAATAAATTCATTTCTCTTTAACGATATATACAAGGGTATATTTGAAAAAAAAAAAAACTAGGTAATAAGCCACAGCCATAGCAAATCAACTTAATTTTTTGCATAATGTGCATGGTGTGGCTCGATATAGGTGATATTGTTTATTCCAAGTTTGGTCGTTCTTGTAAAAATATCAAATTTTTATATTTAATTGATTTTTTGAGCAATTTAATTCCTTTAGTTCTCGATGTTTATACTGTGCATCACCAAGAAGGTAACTGGCCAGCTTATAAAGAGTCATGTATGCGTTGCTGGACCGACTTTTTCTCCAATTTGATAGAAAAAACTATAAGCATGCACCGTTAATGTTCTTCTCAGATATTTTTTACTGGATGGAGGTTAGTCATCCAATGATCAATATGATTACTACTCATCTTGCTTCTTTAAGTGATTCTCCTGTAGAAATTGCTTACAGCATCATCCGTCAACGTACATCTAAGTTTTTTTACGGCAGATCAGTTGCAAAAGGAGGCGTGTTTTATTTTTCAGCATTGAGAGAATAATACTTTTTAGCAGCATTTTGTAAATTCTGTGAAATATCCATATTCACCAAAGCAATTGCGTATACTTTCTCAAAAATGTGCTACAGTGCTTTTAGAAACTTTTACGAAGATATATCAAGCACACTATTTGTATTCTTTGATTATTGGTTCATCTGATGGTATTAATATTTATAAGTTGCATTCTTTAGATTATGAAATACTGATCGCCACCTTCCAAGAGGCTTCGTTATTTCTAGAAAGCCATTTATGACTATTTTATATGACTATTTATAGTAACTTCTCTAATGACAGTAATGTTCTTTCGTGTAGGCATAGCTATTATAGCCATTGCTTGCAAAAATGTGAATTTAAATGTTTGATTTGTTTAGAATATATTTAGGGTGAAATTAAAAAAAATATTAATACAATTAAGGAAAGTATAATGAATAAGTTGGGCGAAAATGAATTCATTGATGAAAGAAGTGAAGACACAGTTGAAGATAATTCAGATACTAATGCGGCAACAGATAATACAACAACTACAGCAAATTTATTTGAAAATGCAAAACAATTATTTCTTCAATTGTAAATTTTTTTTTTTATTATTAATAAATTCATATTTTATTAAAATTTTATATTGGGGTAATTCAGAATTAATGATCAAGTTTCTGATTTTGAATTAAATTAGTAATGTATTTTTTTCAAAATCAGTGGTTCATATATTTTAAAATAGTTTATATTTCTGATCGACAATTATATATTAAAAACATAAATAGTATTTTAGTATTAAAACGTAGAAGAATATTCTAATAGTATTCATAAATATATAGCTAATATTCTTGAAAAAGAAGTTGATGAACTGTTGGAACTATTGCAAACAATTGAATTAGATCATTATCTTATTTATCGTTAAAAAATTAACGATTTTTTCTCAAGTTCTCTTCTTTATTGGCTTGTTTAAAGTATTTTTGGGAAGCATATTAATTATTAATAATTCGAAAATAAATATATAATATTACTAATAAAGAATTTTAAAAAAAATTTAACCGATAATTTGTAGCTCTTTATTAATTTATTATGATAATATCATATGATATCAAAAAAAGTATAATTTTGTAATACATGAAAATCATTTGTACGTATTATACTATGAAATTATGATATAATTAAAATTTTAATATTTTCAAAATTCGCTAATTTGATTGGCCTGTAAAATAAGCAAGGTTGGAATGTTTGTGTAACCATAATTTCCTTATCTGGGATGGTTACCCCTGTTCACTCTCTGCCCTATTTTTTTAAATCTCAGATTAACAGGAATAACTTGAGTAAAGACTTTACTAATCTGAGATCTAAATAGTAGGATAGAGATAGCATAGCCATGGTGCAAAAAATTGGTGGTAACGTAATCTCTGATGGATCAATACTTCAAATCGGCCCAGATTGTTGCACAAGGCTTAGAAATTTTTTTTGTTACGAAACCAATAATTACTGTTCCATTTTAAAAACTTTTTGAACCAAGATCTTACCATTTAGTGTTATTACTAATTAGTAATAATGTTTATTAATAATATTTATTTATACAATATTAAGAAATTTTTAATCATAAGGGTATAACTAAGAAGCAGGTATAACTAAAAGCGGGTACAACTTTTGGAATATAATAACTACTTATTGCAACTAGAAGTTTTGATCCACGAGGAGGATCCCAGGTTTTTTGTTGCCTTCTAGCTCTTAAAGCCTCCTGACAAGCTACTGTTTCAGAGATTAAGGTTCATTTTAGTTTTATATACACATCATAGAAATGATCGTTTTGAATATTATCTGAAACAATAGTTATTAAAGATTCAAATACTTTTTTATCTTCCTCTAGCTCTGCTTTTCTAAATTCAACCAATTCATTTTGTTTATAAATGTTTAATTCTATATTATCTCTTATGCTTTCAAATGAAAACTTTCAATATTTTCATTATTCCAGGGATTATTTGATGGATCAATGGTTGGAAGATTTTTTTTGCCAAAGTAGGTAAATGGGTAGTTATGTTTTTGTTTTGTGGTCATAAATTTAGAGAAGAAATTTGGGTATATAGTGGTATACTTTTTAACAAGATGTTTGCATAACATGTAGTTACTTTCAAGAAATGTAAGACATGAACAAATCTATCTATTAATGTCAGTAAGATATTCTCCCTCTATGCTAACTTCTTTTTCTAATGCAGTTTTCTAATTGCTTTTGAATACGTCCCACCATAGTGGAAATATACAGTTGTTATCAAATCTATTCCAGTTATATATTCGATCAGGAATTAATTCTTGGATTATGATATGTGTTAAACGATCTAAGCGAGGTCGATTGGTATTATATTTATAGTTATATTTAAGAACACGCCAATGCAATTCTACTAACATAGTGGTTTTTGCTAATGGTAGTGCTTTAGAATAAGAAGCCCGAGCAAAAAGGTCCCAATAATTTTTTTTATACTAATTAACCCATAAATAGCCCCATAGATGAATAAGATTCTTTTTTTTACAATATTCATATGCTTCACGAACACTTAGATAGTATATTTCAGCCGAAATAAGAAATGTTTCTTTGTTGATTGGAATAAATGGATGCAATAATGCATGTTTTTTAACCATTTTCAAAACTTCTTTAATATTTTCTTTAGGGTATATGTTACTTTCTTGTTCTCCAAGAAGCCAAGATTCGTCAATAAACTCGAATTGACTTTTAGCATCGTTAGCCATTCGTTGTGTATATTGACTAGCTTTATACCTTTTCTCTTTTAGCTTTCTCTCAATGGCATGCTCTAAATGCCACAAACAAAGATGAACTTTTGCTGTTTGAGACCAAATCCCCAAAGCCGCTAATTCACTAGCATCTTTATCTATAAGAATAAAGCTAGGCCAAATTCTAAATGCAAGTTAATAATTATTAGATAATTTAGATTTAAGAAAAAAATTTTTTATTTAAAGGTAATAATTAAATATATATACCCTTCAGTTTTTAATAAGGAAAAAAATTCTTTTAGAGCTAATACACGTGAGTGGATTTTATTTTTTGGATCTTGCAAGCATTCAATTGGTGCTGTGAAAGTATGAAGATATAAATATGCAAGTGGAGCTCCGAATCCTTTATGGTTATTTATAATAGTGAAGAGCTCAAATTTTTCATTGTTCATTTTATATGTTGAATCTATAAGTATTTCACTTATATCATTCTTTGGTATATAATTAAAAAACAGAGTAGTAAATCCAAGAGATCTAATAAAGCCATTTTCAATATATAATGGAATTTTATATTCTTGATCAACTAGTTCACTTTGGGCCAAAAAATTACGAGTAGAAAGGAGTTGATTAGAAATATTCGTAACATATTGCTGAGCAGAAAACTTAAAAATCTAATAGTACACCTGTTAATAAGTGTGCACATTTGGGTTAATAAGTTTTTCTTCGCCAAGCCTTCTATAAAATTCAATTTTTTTAAGGTTCCTGTGTATGTTTCATGATATCCAGGCTATGGCATTTTGTGGTAAGTTACTTTCACGATATGTAGGATGCTCATGAGCTATTAAGTGTTCAATTTTTATATTTGCTTGATATTTATTAATGTCAAGATTAATCTTAATGTTTTCTTCACATGAATACCGATTTATTGGAGGCCTCGCTTTGCTTATTCTTTTTGGTGCTTGACTTTCTGAATGTGTACGTTTACGATCTTCTCTTTGAGCACAGCCGAAATATATAGTGCTTCTCCAGTTAATTGATTGTTTTTCTTATGGGCATAGATTTTTCTTAATTCCCAATAATAGCAAGATCTGGCTTCGATAGTTACAGGAAGAGATTCGGCTATATTATGATAAGTAACTTCTTTGTTACTCTCTTGATTTTTGTTATGCATATTGACAAAATCTTCATTAAACTTCAAAGTTTCTGAAAAACATGCATGATCATGTTCTTCACTTTCAAAACAGTTAGCTATTAAGTTCTCTATATCCGTTAAACTAAACCAAGCTATGTCTTCATATTCGTTATTAGCATAATCTTCAGTTATATTTAAACTTTTTATGCTCGTTGGTTCACTAATAGCTTTAAGCTTTTTTTCCTTTTTAGTTTTCGCACATTCATTGCAGTTAGAACATTCTTTCATTCGACTTCCAACTAGTCAAGTAAATTCATCAAGATTTTTAGGTTTATCACAGCGGGAGCATCTCTTTCTATGGTTAGAAGAAGCTATGATGTTTTTAATTTATTAAGGGTAGAGGGTATGTAGATCATTTTGTCATATGATTTTGGTAGTACAATAAGATTTATATAGAAATTGATAATGTGCTA